GAGGTGGCTTGTCCTTATTAAAAGACCAGTTATGTAAGATGCAGTTCTTTTGGTATCTTTTCAAAGTACTAAGATAGTAGAGTCAGACTGATTTTGCGTGTCTGGTCTACAGTTCTTGGGAAAACAATAGATAGGTGTTGAGAAATGCTGAGTGTATGATTGCTGAGAATGCTGAGTTCACGATAAAATTAAATTGTTCGCTAAGAACAGTGGCAAGGAAAACCTAGCTGCTCCCCCAACCCACCCAAGTGGAAAACTACTTGGAGCATTCTAAAGTAGCAAAACAGTGTATGTATATCATACACCAGTTAAAACAATTCTTTAGGCACGGGATATGTGGCCCTGCCCCCTGGCTCCCTCGTGAAGAATACTTCCTAGTTTGTCCTTGATCAGTGGTAAGCAGGCACCGGCTGCCTACCTGGTTTATCTTGGTTGTATGAGAAAACACAGGACACCTGCTGTTAATAATAATCACCTGTTCGGAGACAATAAATACGTGGGTCAATGTGCTCAAAGCCCTTCGCCCGGAATGCTGTCAGCTCGCTAAGGTTCTCAGTTCAGAAGGCTGTTCATTCCCTGATAGTCCCACTTTTCTGTTCTATAATATGTCTGCTGCTGCTGCTGCTGCTGCTGCTGTTCTTTCTTTTCTGCAGAAAAGTGATTTATTTAGGTAGAGAAAGAGGAAAGGGAGAAGAAAGAAAAGTTCCACAAAGAGTGTGGAAGGGGCCTCCAGAGGGGAAATCCAGGAGGGGAAAGAGAGCTCCCACCGTGTGGGAGGGGCTTCCAGAGAGCTGGAAATCTGGGTGTCTGCTTCTTAATGCCTTCAGCACCGCCTGGGCGGGGAGATCTCTGGCCGAGCTGGACTCGGTAGATGGGCTTTCTCTACGGTCTGTTCTGCTTTCTCTTCGGAACGTTTCCTGTTTCTCTCTCTGACTGATAGAATGTGAATTCAAACATTGAAGGCCATAGGCTTTCTAATTGCAAAGCACTCTTAAAGTTCCTTAGTTTATATATCTTCCTCCATGTGTGGGTGTCGTGCTCTCTCCCCACTTTCTTTCCCCCTTTCCCTCTCTCACCCCCCATCTTATCTCATTTCTCTTTCTCTCTCTCTCATTCTAAACCAAGGAGAATATCTGGTCTCAAATCTAACAATACTATATTTACTACATGACTAACGTAGTAGTAGTCAAATCTAACGACAAATCAACTCATTGTTTCCAGTAACTTTAAGATGAAATCTAAACTCTTAGCTTGCCAGATTCCTAAGTTGTTTTGGTGAGGCTAAAATAAGGAAGTAAATTCATTCATCTAGTAAGTATTTATTCAACCTTTAATGTATATCAGGCACTATACTAGGTTCTGGGATACATTTGTGAAGAGAACAGATGAACTTTCTTACCCGTGGCAGTGACATTTTTGTTGGGAGGACATACACCACATAAGTAAACAATAAGCTCTGCAGGTTGTGGTGGATGCTTTGTAGGAAGTGAGCATGATGCAGTGACTGAGAAAGACAGGGATGCCGATACTCAAGGCTGCCAGGAAAAGCCTCTTCAGGGAAGCGATATTGACAGTGTGACACTTGCAGTCTGTTTAAGAAAAAGCCTACAATATACTGAACCACAAACACAACTTCTAAGTGGTAAGATGTCACATCAATGAATAGTAACCCCCTCTAATCCTTTGTGTGAGAGGAAAATTACAAAACAATAAGTTTTCCCAATTTGTGATGCTGTAACTTTATATTAATTTCTACTTTTTTGTGAGCTTCCTTTTTTATTTTTAATCTAAATCTTTTATGCTTCCTCCTCTTCTGGTTTTTGGGGGTTTTTTTGTTGTTGTTTTTGTTGTTTGGTTTTATGGTTTTTGTTGAGAGGGTTTCCCTCCTGTTGCCCAGGCTGGAGTGCAATGGCACGATCTCAGCTCACTGCAACCTCTGCCTCCTGGGTTCAAGTGATTCTCCTGCCTCAGCCTCCCAAGTAGCTGGGATTACAGGCATCTGCCACCACGCCCAGCTGATTTTTGTATTTTTAGTGGAGATGGGGTTTTATCTTGTTGGTCAGGCTAATCTCCAACTGCTGACCCCAGGTGAGCCACCACACCTGGCCTCTCTTCCATTTTTGATTTGTGCAGGTCTGATCTTGTCATCTGGCCCCTATCTATGGTTCTGTTTTCCTTCTGCCCACTCTCAGTCTTACCTGCTGCTGTTCATACACTTCTTTCCTGCTGCTTGGCCTGCTGCATGCCATAAACCCGTGCAATTGGTTTCCATTTCTAAGGTTTGAATCCTGTACTTCTAACACCTTCCCGAAGATTTCCTAAGCAGCTCATTTTTGTGCAAACCTACCTACCTACCCTTCAGAATATAGGGAATGTCTGCTATTTAGCTCCTAAAGACAGAATGTTTTCAAAGTGATCTGACTAGAATTGTCTGCCATAGTGCCTGGCATGTAGTAAACCCTCAATAAATATTTATTGACTAAATGAGTGAGTGAACTAATTTTAGTAATCTCATGCAGTCCATCTGTAGAGTTAAAGTGTTTTTCCCTCTATAATTTTAGGTCTATTTTCCCTTCACATGTAAAATGCATATAAAAGCCTTTACCTTCAGCTCTATGGCATAGTAAGATCTTTTCTTCAGAGGATTTTTAAAATTTTTGTTTGCTGTATATGCGAAACTTTGTGATTGATCCCAGAGACCCCTCGAGGCATTGACAGTGTCTCGGAGATTCTTTGTACATTGTGCAGCGTAGTGCGTAATGACAAGTCTCGGCATTCAGTATGTAACAGGATTTTTGTTAATGATAATCTCTGAGATTTCAGCTGTTTTGGTTTCTGTTTTCAGCATCTTGAATTATCACATATATTATTCATATTAAGTAGAAACGTCTGAGGAAAATCTTTGTGTTAAGGAAGTTGTCATGTTTTCAGAGTTAAGTAGCAACTAAATGTAATGTTTCTTTTGTAGAAAATTTTCAACTATGGCCAAAGTTTGGTAGACATTTTGTGTGATATTATTGATCAGCAATGGCAATAATAACTTAGCTATAAACAACTTTCAGAGACTTTTCAACAGCAAATACTCAGTTTTTATCAGTATAAAGGTGTGTTTAGAAACATCACTGCCAACTCATTTCAAGAACTTAAGTGTTAAGTAGTACCTTAAATCTGTATCTTACTGTGTTATCTCCGTTAGAAATAATTTGTAAATGATCCTTCCATTTTGAACATTCTATGTTTATAGTTGTAAAATATTTAATACCAAAAATTGATTTTAAAAAATTCCTTTGGGTTTTTGTCATTTAGATTATATTCCTTAATTCAAGAAAACCTACATAATTTACACTGTGATTTTTATTTACACTTACACAAGGATCTGACGTATATGATTAAGATCAACTTAAAAACGTCAGTATTTATGATTTGTATTTATTGCCCCATGGGATTATTAGGTTGGTACAAAAGTAATAGTGGTTTTTGCTATTACTTTTAATAACTCTAAAAAATAACTCTAAAGCAGTGGGACAGATTTTCAAATGTACTGATAGTTACATGTCTAGGAGGCCCCATCTCCTTCAAAGCAGTCACCTAGCAAAGCTACACATTTGTTCCAGTAATACTCCTGTGGCCTAAAAATGTTGTAGAATGCCTCTGAAATGCTAAGAAATAAGCTGATATTATTTTAAATATCCTGAATTGTGTCAGAGGTGAATTTAATTTTGTTGAGTAGTCAAATCATCCCAGGACCGAATATAGTAAATGAAATCTGGAGTATTGTTTGGAGCCATAGTTGAATATAAAATAACAAGATGGGCTTTCATAGTGATGCATAAACTAACTCTAAAAATTGATTGTTGAAGAGAAATTTCAGAACCCTGGACCTTGGAATAAATGCATAAGCTCCCACGGTAGCTACTATGAAGAACAGTACTTGTCTAGGTGGGGAAAAAATATGTGTATGTTTGCAAAATAAGATCAGTTTTATTCCTTTATAGATGAACCCTGTAGATGATAAAAATACTCCTATCATGGAACTCTTTATAAGCAAACATTTGAATATAAGTAGAATATCTGCCTCGTCCTTTCTAAGCCTGTTGAGAAATCTTAATTTGTAACAATGACTTATTGCTTTAAAACAAAAAAAAGTGACGTTTACTGTGTAAAAAGTAGATGTCTTGCAGTTTCTCTTCACTTTTTCCTGATTAGTTTTGTTAGTGTATTCAATTTTTATTTCGGTTTATCTATCTTTGTTCACACTGAGATTCTCAAAATGTGTTTTTTCGTTGTAAAATTATCAAACTATTGAACCAAGTTAGAAAATAATATCTAAGCTGAAGGCTATTAATTATTCTATACTGTTTCAGGCTCTTTTTTGTTCACATTAGTAATCATCAGATGCCTTTCTTTTTAAAGTGGGACCCTATTATCTTAGTAAATAAGAGCATCAAATTTAAAGAGAGAAGTCTCAAAGATTTTGTAAAAATAAATACCTTCAATTTTGGAGTTTCTATTATATTTTCATTTTTACTAATAAAAGCTTTAAAACTAGAGTTGAGCCAAAGTGCTGGATTCTGTTTCTCTAATGTAGAAACTTCCAGGTTGACTCACCAGCCAACCATGGGGGATGGAGCTGATGAATCCTGCCTGAGTAGGGTTTTTCCAAATTCACTTCACCACATCTGTCTTCATCCAAGTCATCCAGGCCCCTATTTCTTCATTGCTGGGTTGAAATAATAAAAGGTAAAGAGGAGCATGGAAAGCAGAGAAAATTGTTATCCTTCTGCAAAGAGGCTAAGACAGCTAAATTGTGATATAATTTAAACTGTTCAAATTTGACAAGTTTGACTGGAAAATTATGAGACCCGTGTAATTAGAGATCAAAATGACCACTAGTTTACAGTTTTACAGAGTCATAGAGTGACGTTTTTACCACAGACTGATAGAATATGACTTTTTTCTGCCCAATAGTAACTATTGCACAAATGACTATTGTTTTGCAGTTTGGTGATTTAAATGCCGTGTCTCCTGGAAATCTGGATAAAGGTAAAAATCAAAAATAATGTACATTTTAAGAACTTTTTTTTACTGACAAATTCTCATAGAGGAAAATACAGTATATGTTTACAGCACTCTGATTTTCTGAAAGTGGCATAAAAATCCTAAAGATGACACTCATGTCTTTTCATTATTTCTCCATTTTTCTTCATCCCTATACCTTCTACATGTGAGATACATTAAATGCAGATAATTGAATTTAAATGTAGTTATAAACTTCTTTACACTTTTTGCCTGAAGTGCATTACAAGTGAAAAGAAATTATTTCTGACCATGGCTAGAATTCTGGAGAGAAGTGATAAAATTGGATGAGATATTTTCATTCAGGGCCCACCAGGCAAGAAAAAAGATTCCTCAGCCCACCTATTTCACCAGTTCATACTTTGCTGTAGATAAAGAACTCTGAGATAGGAATGAGGTTTACTGTAAATGCAAGATTAGTAGTGGTATAGATGAAGAAGGTAACATATATACTTCTGAAATGTGAATACCAGCATTGTCACTCTCATATGCAGTATAATACGGTAACATGATCAACAAAATCACATAGTGAAAACAGCAAGATGGACTTAGCGGGAGATAGACAAGGGATAGAACACACGAGTCTTACCCACCTTTATAAACAGAGCACAAACGAAACAATACTGATAAACATACTGGTACAATTTTTAAAAACAAGTAAATCTTCTGTTAAACACTGCAGGAAATAGAGCCCTTTCTATTAAAAGGTGGTGGAGGCAGGGAGGTATCTTGAGGTTTTAAGGAGCTGTTAGGGTGATTGGCTATCAGAGACAGGTAGAAAATGCACATAGACTGGGGAGAGCTACACACTTAGCCGTTCCAGGCCAGAGCCATTGGGGAAAATGAGGTAAAAGGAAGTACGTGGGGAGTCTGCAAGGAGAGGCAGTGCTGTTCCCCAGAGCGTGCTATATTAAGGTACTCAGTACACTAGCAACGCAAGGAGATTTGAAAATTATAGCCAAAAAAATTGTTGCTACAAATACCTACCCTATAGGATTAACCAAATAACCCTTAGAAAAATAAGTCAATGATCATATTAATTAGTAATTTTAGAGCAAGAGGTAGTAACTGAAACCCATGTTCAACATAAAGCAACACTGATGATATACTCACACCAAAGCTTCATAACCCAAATTGAGGAATTTCATCCCGGGGTGCCCAGAGTTTGGTAAAGTTTTACTGCTCACAGACTGAGTTCCAACCAGGCTTCTTCACACCGTGCTGAACCACACAGTTTTCCGTAAACTCCTGTAGCTCCTAATTTTAGTTTTTATGTACCAAATTTCCATAACCTGAAGTAGATTCCTAGGAAGGGTCTTTGAGTTTTTAATAGAAGCATAAAATGTCTACAGAATTACATTCCTTTGTCCTTAGGACCTGGAGAATGGGCTTGCTTTTATATCTTGCCTTGTAGGCTCTCCAAAGGAAACCTGTCACCCAGAGATAGACCTAAGCAAAACCTACCTGGAACACTTAAATTTGTCCAGTTTGTTAGATAGACCTAAGCAAAACCTACCTGGAACACTTAAATTTGTCCAGTCTGTTAGATAGACCTAAGCAAAACCTACCTGGAACACTTAAATTTGTCCAATCTGTTACCTCACTGCCCTTTCCGTCCACAACAAAATAGATAGAAGGACTTTCCTCACTTTGTCTCCACTGCCCTCCTGCTTGAAAATGATTTTTTGTCTTTTCAGTGCTGCCCCTTTTATTATTTGGACACTGATTTCTTAGGCACAGGGAAGTGTGTGAACAGGTAGCAGAGACGCAGTATGACTTGTCCTCACCTGCTGGATGTGGCGGCGCTGATCCCATTTACCCCCAGACCTCTTGATGCCTCTTGATATAGAGTCATAGGGGCATACTCAGGGCATAAAGATTGAATGTGAAATCCTAGGAGTTTCTGTGGGCTTCTCCCACAAAATGAGAATTCTTGTCCTTGATAATAAAAGGGATATTTGCTCTGTATAAAGATTTCAAATAATACAGAGAATTAGTAACTATAGAAAGTGAAGCTTCATTATCACAACCGTAAGAGACTGCCACCATGAAGAGTGTGTGTTAAGATCCTTCCAGACATTTTTGTTTTATGTATAAACACATGCAACACCAAAATATATCATGCAAACATGTTTCAAGCATACCCTCTTGATGAAGCAAATGTCTAAAAAAGATATCCCTCTCCCTGTAATCCCCAACCCTTTGAATATACTTGTTCTGACACACTGTAATATTATCATTAAGTTCATTTTCCAGAGGCAAAAAGGTAACTAGATAAAGTAGGTGGGCCAAGATATCTTTGGCCTCATCTAAGAGGACTTCTTTGTTTTATTGGTCACTAATACATGACACACATTTGTAGCCAATGTATGTTAATCTCCACTTGTTTAATCACAAATTGCCATTTCTCAGACCTTGCTCCCGCTGGCTGTACACTGTACAACCATATAGGTAAGGCCATTACTTCTCACTGCTTTCTTCTAGAAGCATCTTTGCCCCAATCATAATGAAATAAAAGTCAAAGGGCCTTGTTTATAGAGACAACTGCATTAGCAGAGATTTTTGCTGTGGGTGTCTACAAACTGGAAAAGCTGCAGTCTTACTGCTTGCAAAGAATCCAGCTTAATCTGACGGAAGAGATACTTGTTGTACGCTCATTGTATGTGATATGCCATAGAATAACAGAGAATGGAGACCTGACTCTGTTTATACAAGCCACTGTAATTATTCCTCTTGAAGAGGTATTCCGAGGAGACTCTCACACAGTAGTAAAGCTGTATATGTGCATTTTCTCTCTGTATTGTACTTTTGAATTTTAACAGTGCATGCTGGAAAAAATTAAATGGCATTCCATTATAATGATGCTTTAGTTAATATAAAATGTATTACAGTTTGGGGGTAACAGTGACTATATAACACACTTAATTTCCAGAAATGAATACTAGCTATTAATAGTATCAGTTGCCAAGAATGGAAATACATTGCACATTTTTAATCTGATACTACTGCCTCAGCTTTAATAATTTTTATAATCAAAATTAAGGGTTTATTTTATATTGTGACCATCTACAACATTGATGAGTGCCAAAAAGTCTCTACAGTAGCCTCTGTTAATACATGCAGTAGTAATATTATCAACATAGGTCTCACCCACATTAACGCTAGCATAGATAAAATTTATATTTAGTGTAGAATTTTAAAGGAAACAAAACCAAAACTTTTTTGTGTTTGCATTTTCAGCTCAGTACATTCCCCAGAAGCCAAAGTGACTACTTTATTATAACACAAATTATGCCATTATTTAATATAAACACTAAGGGAAATTCCGAAGTCATTTTTAAAAAAGTTAGTGAAGTATCGATCACAAATTGCCAAAAATAAATTTTCCTTGCTATGTTTGAAAGAATTATAGATGCCTAAATACAGCATTTGAGGAGAGCTAAGATGTTTGCTTTCTTAATGTACTATATATTAAAGTGTGTCTAAAGCACATGTTGATGCTATTTTCTAATTTGTCTTCTGATAATAGTCTTGATATCACTTGTTTGTGCAGATGAAGGCAGTGAAGTAGAAAGTGAAATGGATGAAGAACTGGATGACTCTTCAGAGCCTCAAGCCAAAAGAGAGAAAACAGAGCTGAGCCAGGCATTTCCAGTGGGCTGCATGCAGCCTGTTCTCGAGACTGGCGTGCAACCAAGCCTCCTGAATCCAATTCACAGCGAGCACATTGTCACAAGTACTCAGACTATCAGACAGTGCAGCGCTACAGGAAATACCTACACTGCAGTCTAAAGAATATTAAAGCGTATTTTTCCAGCTTAAATTACCCCTGTTGATATTGGGCTTAAGTTGAAAATTTAATAAGCCTGAAGGTCGACTGTTGTCGAATTCTATCTGTGCTGAACATTAACTTTTTGGAGTTGTGAAATGGAATGGGTGTATGTATTTTGGCAGGTCTTTTTATTTTTAACGTAAGCAAATTATTTGCCTCTTAATAATGAATTTTTTCCCTTAGTTTCAGGTGTCAAGAAGGATTTTTACAACACTTAATGTCAATGTTTTGTTTTCTTAAAATTAAAAAGTAATTTACATTTTTTGTAGCTTAAAATATTTTATTGTTGATTGTTAGTCTTGGTGTATGATTTCATGTGTAAGTTTTTTAATTAGATGCACTTCTGTGAAATATCAAAAGAAATGAATTTTTTTGATTTACACTGGAGGCATGCCCATTTGGCAGCAGATGCATCAAATTTGCTTTTGAAAGGTGCTTTTCATTGGACAGAACCATAAGACACTATTTTGATAACATTTTGAGTACGGAGAGAGAATACAGAGCATTTTTATTATAGTGCTAGAGGGTTTGGAAGGTCATCTATTTTTCTCTGAGGAAAAATTGAGCTGTGCATTTATCAGTTCAGAGTAAATGACAGAATTGCAAGAGATTATGCTAATATGTACGTAATTTGTGTACATAATTATTAAACCATGTTAACAATGCAAGCTTCCGTTAAACATGGAATTGTAACTATTATTTGCATACCAATTCCTCCGTTTAAAGACTACTGATTCTGTATTTGGGACCACTGCACAGGTGCATTCTGCTGTTAAGTGGGGGCTGTTAGAGTTAATACTGAAGCAGAAAAAAATGACTTGACTTTTTTTTTTTAAGTGTACATGCTACTTATGCTGAGCTGGACATACAGGAAACCATTCCATTTGGATGACTTTCTTTTATTCCAGGTCTTTTTCCTAATAGTAGTTCAATATGCTGCTATTATAAAAGAAAATTTATAGAATGCAAGGAATGTAGCAACCTACATAACGTTATTTCCTTCAAAACTATTTCCTGGTTTCTAAAATATGTGGATTTAAATTGTAAACAGAACCTGAAGGCAGTGTAACTGGCACACCTCACTGTTACTTATCCCCGATTCTGTAGGATTTGGATAGGTGGCTGGATGGACCATTGCCATTGAAGAATGTACATCAGGGATCATCGTACCTCGGCTATTACATGGTGCCTTAAAACAGAACTGAAGCTAAGGTTTAGTAAGGTTTATTTTGTTCATGTGAATAACTCTTCAATCCATTTGACAAAGTGTGCCTGTCATTTTCAGATTCCCGAAGTAAGGACAGGTGACATGTTCTTCAAAGGAAATTTAGGGAAAGCAAAGCAAAACAAAAAGACAAAAATCAGTTTCCCCCTTTGAGTGACCGTGAATCTATTTTTTATTCTTAGAGCTGCATATTTGCTTAAGGGTGTGGAATAGCAGGCTAGTTTTAATACCAACTTGTTACATAAAGTCATATATGTTTTAGACCATTCTTATCTAGTTACCGTTTTAGAAAGTTAACAGAGTAAGCAGATACTTATCGAAGTGCATCTTTTCAGTCTAAATGTTTGTCTGTGTGTCTAGGTGCCGGTGTGTCCACATGCACACATGAGTGCCCATGGGGCAGGAGTCTGCTACAAAGTCAGAAGGTGAGATCCTAGAGAGTTACACCCAGTCCTATTTTAATTTGCATGAACAGCCAAGGTTCTTTTAAGCCCTCAAATTATTTAATGATTAAAACACAAAAAGGCACATCTGTTCATTTAAATAGTTGTAAAATACTAATCAGCAAAAATAGAGAATAAAGCCAAAAAAAAAAAAGCACAAATTGATTCACAGATTATTAATGAGGCCTATATTAAACCCAAGATGTTTATCTTTCCAGTTGTGTTGGGGCAGGGGGGTGGGGGGGTTGGAAAGAAGAGGTGAGCTAGTCTGTAAAGTTAGAAATACCAAATGGCTTATCGGGTAATACACGGTGTATTTAAGCTGTTGTTGCTTGGTTGCCTCAGACTATTCAAATAACATCAACAACATTTCTTAAGTAAAATTTAAATATTAGATGTAATTTTGAAAACAGATGCAAATTTTTTATTATACAACTCATATATTTGAAAGTCTTCACTAGCATAGTAGCATCACCTTCATCTAAATATCATTTAAATTACCGTACCTCTTTTTCTTCCCAAAAAGATAATGGATTTGTACCAAAACACACACACAAAAGGCAGACAAAACATGGTAAGCTGCAAAAGATCATGTATCTACTTCATTGTGCATAGGAAGTGTTTACAGGTAAAATTAAAATCAAAAATTGAAAAGACACTCTTCATTTTGGCTCTCCTTTCTGAATGTTTTCAGTTTCCTGTCTCTACCCGCCATCCCTTGAATGATACTATGTATTGGACCAAATGTATTTACTGGTTTCATTTTGTTTATTGAATGACTTTAAATGTATTTATTATCATTGTTTCCTTTAATTTAATGTTGGATATATTTGTACCGTTAGAGGAATCTGATAATAATGGGCAAATTTAGATTGATGAGACTTAGGGACTGGGGATGCTCTAGGATTCAACATTTCTTCCAATTGTTCATGGTTCTAAATTAGGGCAGATTAAAATCTAATAAACATTATCACATTTGAACTTGACTCAATAAAAATATTCTCATCTCCTTTCTGAAGATTTAGGCATATTCTTTGTGACTACTGTAAATAGTTTGGACCAAAACATAAAAGAAGACCTTTGGTTTATGTTACTTCCAGTTATTTGTAGTTTACAGTAAAACATGAACACACATACGTACAAACATTTTCATCAATTTAGAATTTGAGTCATGAAATACATGAGAAAATAAAAACATAATTTATACATTTGAACAAATTGAGCAGTGACTTTTACTGCATTTATTTCCATTTTTCCCTTTTTTCATTCATCGAAACTAGGTTTTCTAAATAATATTAAACAGTAACACTTTTTTTTTTTTTTTTGAGATAGAGTTTCGCTCTTGTTACCCAGGCTGGAGTGCAATGGCACGTTCTCGGCTCACCACAATCTCCGCCTCCTGGGCTCAGGCAATTCTCCTGCCTCAGCCTCCTGAGTAGCTGGGATTACAGGCGCGCGCCACCATGCCCAGCTAATTTTTTGTATTTTTAGTAGAGACGGGGTTTCACTATGTTGACTAGGATAGTCTTCGATCTCTTGACCTCGTGATCCACCCACCTCGGCCTCCCAAAGTAGTAACACTTTCTTAATAGATTTATTCACAAATGATACAAGTACACATTTTAAGGACTTCTCTGTATTTCTTGCAATTATAACCGATCACTAGTCATGATATAAATCAAGTGCTACACTTTCAGTGAGGAAGAAGGTTCAGGAAGTTATGTTGACCATTTTTAAGTTTCAGAAAAGACATTTTCATATGATAGGATTGAGTATCATGGGTATAGTTTGATCTTGACATATACTTTGAAAATCATACCCAAAAGATTTGCGTTCATGAAACCAGTGAACAATAGGGTGGAATGGATGAACCATCTCCTTGGAAGACAGGGCCCAATTTTCAGTTTTTTCTTTGGCTATCAAGTTGCTAGTCACTTATTCAGGATTTTCATCCAAACTGTGTTTGGACTGACTGTATAAGTCTTAACTGCCTTTTCAGAAATCTGCTTTCCTTTTTGTGATTTTTCTTGTACTGTATAGCACGGTTTATGCACCTCTCTTTAGATGGTGTACTTTAAAAACAAAAGTAAAATTTAGAAAATGGTTTTAACACTGCATACCTGAAATGAGTAGTGTGCAACATTGACTGCCTTTGATTTCTAGTAGACAAGTAAAAATGAATACGTTCTTGTAGAATGCTGTAAAAGTCATTCAGGAATGAATGCGGTTTTAGTGCCGTAATCATGAATCTTTTTATATGAATGCACTGTCTAAAAGTGCTAAATGCATTTTCAAATTTTTAAAAATTTCTCAGATGATATATTTGAAATGTCTAAAATAATGCTGTGCTTGAAACATTAGTGTAAAAGAAAAAAGTGTGTCACTGTGATGTTGGTCCTCCCTGTGTGGACACACGTAGAAAGTAAAAACTTGGCAATTCACCTTTGTGTACAATTTGAGGCGGTGGTTATATATAATGAACTGACCTTTATTATAACCCCTCTGCACACACATTCATGGTGAGAAGATCTCAGCCACCCACAAATTACGATCAGAACTTTTGTGATCTGTATGAATCACACTAGAACATGGGGGAGGAGGATTGGCATGCAGTGCTATTGAAAATTGGGCTTGTTGCTAGATCAGAAGAACCTCCATGTATATGGTTAGAGCAAATCAATTAATGGAAACCTAGTATTTCTGCAAGTTTGGTGATTTTTAAAAACTGGAATAGAAGCATTAATTCAGTGCTTAGTTCTAGTATTAGAAAACCCCTTTGATGTAATGCCTTGTATTAACCCTTTGAGCATTGTAAGATATACAATGGGGGACAAAAGCCTTTCAGATCATTTATTTAGACTTAGACCGGTAAAGTATACTCTATATCCAAATGTCTAATTATGCTGTTTTTTTAAAGGGGGGGTAGGAAGAGAAAGTGTTTCCATGCCGAACACTTGCATTTTATATACAACTCTTAATTTTTCTTCAAGAGGGCTTGATATATTTATTCCCAAATATTCACTGCCATCTAAGTAAGTGTACTGTTTACAGAAAAGAAAAAAAAAAAAAAAGAATCAACTTTTCTAGCATCACACCATAGTCTCTAGAAAAGGAGGACAAGTACATGGGCCTGGATAGACCCATGTCATAACGGATTTCTGCACATTGAAGGTACCTAGATTGCCTTTAAAAGGTATAAAGAAAGGGTTACGTTTCTTTTTTTTCTTTTTTTCCCAAAACGAAACAAAAGATCTCATTTATTTAGCTTTAGAAAGTACAAGTGTAAGTGAAGCCTTAGGAAGAAACGAGTTCGAGTGGATTAAGAGAATGTGAACTCCTTGGGGGCAGTTAGGCTATTTGGAGTTAGATTGCTCATAAAATAGTTTGGGAATTTCGCCCAGGGCATAATTTTATCTATGCTCCAAACCTTTAATACTTTGTCAAAAAATTATATATAGACAGAATGGAAAGCAAAGCACTTGATTTTAAGCTCATTGTCAGGAGATGCTATGACTACTGCTTCTGGCATCTCTAAATGTCCGTCTGCTTACACCATTGCTGATTTTGTTCAAGGGAATCTCTTCATGCACTCGGTTCCCTCTGTTCCCTGTGTGATCGAACATGAAAGCAGTGTTGTCTGCAGATGTGCTTGTGCTGCCCTAGCTGGGCGCAAATAAGAGTGTAACCTATTCTGATGTCTGGTGAAAGGACATCCATAGCATAGTGCAAGTATGCCGTAAACGTTGCTTTTTAGGCAGTTTAGGAAGTCAAACCATGCAAATTACTCATGTGTTAACATGCAATACTCAAAGGGTTTTAATTTAACTCTCTTCTTTTGAATTCTTCATGATGATTTACTGTAAATGCTTCTCAGTTTGCATGCCTTGATCATTGCTGCTAGTGATTTTATGTGCCAGTAGACCTGAGTTTAGTTTACCAATTTTACTTAAATAGTAAAAGCCACTTACAAAGTGACTGCCTAGGATTTTTTTCCCCTTTCCTTTAAAATAATTGATAATACGTTTCGTTTTGTTTTTTTTTTTTTTTCTTTAAGAAAAATGTGTTTTGTCTCTTATTTGGTTCTGGTTTGATTCTTTTCCCCCCGTCTTTCCTTTGTTTTTTTAAATAAATTATGATGTTGGGATTGGAAGCCCTGAGTTATGAAATCTTTGGTAAGAATTGTTTATGTAGCTCAATAATGCGGACAACAAATCTTTTTTAGAAGAATTTTGATTCTGGGGAAGAAAGAAAATATCAAAACTCCCATTGACTGTTGATAACCAAGTAAATTTTTCCTTCAGTAAATTAGTATTTTTGAAGAAACAATAGCCTTGTTTTAACCTGCTAAACACAATTTTAAATGATCCAATAAAGAAGCTACTGAATTGTATTCATTTGAAAAGCATCTATTGTACCAAAGCAAATTTTTTTCTCTACTCATCTCCATCATCAATTTGGACCTATGGTGGTGACCAATGCGTTGGTTACAGAAACTTTAAGTGAGTGCCTTGAGAAAACTTGGAAATTTGTGCCTGAGACGGTAAACTTTCAATTAGGTTAATTGTAGTGCTTACCAATCAGTAACTCCACTATCACTCAGGGCTTTCGTACCTTCTCGGTCAAACTTCTTTCATTGTGTTTTTTTAAGATACTGTATTTTTTTTTAAGTGCCATCATTTAAATTTCACTTAGTAAGTGGCCGATTACATTATTCAGTCCCACAAGCACAGAAACATAGTAACACTAGGAGATATTTGAACATTTATTTTACAATCGACTGAATATATTATGTAAATGAGGTAAGCAACTTTTGTAGAGATTGTATGTGTGAGATAATGTAATGTTCTTTTCCAGTTTTTGGACTACAGTTGAATAAACTTTTTAATTATTTAAAAACATCTTTACCGAATAACATGTGATGGTTTTTTGTATAATGTATTTGATTTTGTAAATACGTATTTCCTGATGTGATTTTTGTGAGAAATGCTAAATCTTTTAGTATATCATGTCCTCTCAAAATTGGCAGGAGCTAAATAATAGTTTGTGGGCGATTTGTATTGTGTACTGTACAATAACTGGGGAACTTTTATAATTATAAAAATATATATTAACTTTTAGTGTGTTGTTTAAACAAATGACTGGAACATACTAAAGATATTAGTAGGATTTTTCTGAATATTTCAGACTTGAACTCAGGCTAGCTTTCTTGTGTTTTTCAAAACAAAATGGTGTCTTGTCTTTTAAAATCAATAAATTTGTTTCCTTGTTACAAATACATTGGAAACGGCTTGGTTTTTTCCCCTTAAATCACTGCCTGGAAGCTAATAATACAGTACCTCATCTGGAGGGTAGTATCTGTCACCCATTAACTTAGAAACAAAATTAAGTTGTTTTCCTTTTTTGTGTCAAATTGGCAATATTTACATGTGAACAGCACAAAAAGAGAAAATTATAAGCCCAGCGGGGTACAAATCTTACCCTCAAAGGAAATTAATGATTGAGTGCTATTTAATTTCAGAAGCTGTCACATTTCTGTTGTAAATCCAGATTTTTGGATGTTCATAATATGTTTGTTTCATGTCACTTCACATTGATTTTGGCACTCAAGTTCCTTTCTTACATTGAACTTGCTTATTAAAATTTATTTTAACACACTTAAGATATGCTGCCAGTTTTTTCCTTTAAATACCTACAGGGAAATTCACTTTTTCATGTACAATCCTATGAGTATTGACAGACACATAAAATCATGTAACCACCACCCCAATCAAGTTTAAAATGATTTACCTAGCAGACATTTAATTTTCTTTCAAATCACAATGTATATAGGGCCTCCTCTTAGAATATGGAAAAGCCCATTTATGTGTAGTTTCTTTAAAAGAAAGAAATGCAAGGCAGAAATATCCTTTTGAGACTCTCCAGCATGATACTTCCAGATCGCTCTGTAAAGTTATCTCTAAAACTACACGATTGCAGTGGCTCACACCTGTAATCCCAGCGCTTTGGGAGGCCAGGGCA